ATGTGAAATGTGAAAATCGAAAGAAGGCGCGGAGACCGGGGGAGGTTAGTATTCAGTCATGTGCATTTAAATGGGGGAGAGCGGCCAGCCTTCAGGGGAGAAGGGGGACAGCCATCGAAAGAGTGTAAACAGTCATATTGTTGGTCGGACGGGAGTTTCATTGTAGACGGGATATAGAGAATCCTAAACTTGTTCAGTCGGAAATAACAGTTGCCTAAAATGATCATAATTGTATGTCTGAGGGAAAGTCATCTGATGCTAGCGAGACCGCGGAGTCAACTGAGGCGGCTGCAACTGGTAAGGCTTATCACTTTTATTATTACATTCAATAGTAGACAATCCTCTTTCTTAATGCTAGTTTCTCTGCTTGCGCTTTGTATTAATTATCGTCGTTTTTGTAGGTGCATCCACTCCCGGTAATCACACTGGCGCCCCTGCCAATGCAACAACTTCCGGTGTCAATATTTTGGCTTGGAATTGCAACTTCTATCTACTTGTCTGTACTTTACTCGGACTCTCTGTTCTGATGTAACGCATTTAATTCTTGTGTGGTCCCCGTTTCTATGGATATTGTATACTTGGATATCGTCTTTGTCTTATTTACTTGCTATGTCTATGCCCTGCAAAAGACAGTGATAAGTGTAATTTATTCTAGCGTCTTCTGAAGGCCCCTTTACGCTACGGGCCACTAACCCGTATGCGTTCTGAAGGAGTTCGTTTCTGAATACTCTCCCTTCTGGTTGGAATTTGGCAAATATATAAGTCAGTCACGGGGTTAGTTCCATTGAAGCGTGTTGCTATGTGTCAATTTGTGGGTCGGAGGAAACATGGAAGAATTTGAGGGAATCGGCAATCATACTCTGCTCTGTTTTTTGCGTTGTGCGCGGTTGCCCTTTTGGACTATAGTAAAAGTAAGAATACGTTTAGTGATTAAGCAAACTGGAAATCGGACATTTTCTCAAAACCTGTGCATCAATTTCGGGAAAATATTGCCAAGTCATCAGCAGGTGCCCATTCTCTGTTCGCTAACGATCAAGGCTGCAAGTAGACAAACATAACTGTGGATAGAACAGAATTCACTGGGCCGTTTGGTTTCCCACGTTTCAATTATTTAATCTGAAAAAAGGTCGAATGAAATGTCCTAAAAATTACGTTTAGGATAATTTTGCGAACTTTTTTCCAAGCACTTCGCAGTCCCTTATGGGATCAGTAATGAAATGGCATGGACGCATGTAATGTGCTTCACTATTGTAGCCGGTAGTAATTTTCTGAAAAATTTATAGGAAAAACGCAGTTATATCAATAGGTGAGCACTGTCCTACAACAAATAAGTATAAGGCATAGTTACAGGGAGTTTCGTCGATGCACAAAGCCGCATGTGGCAAAAGTGAAAGATTTCATTATGTGAAACTAAAAACGGAATATCATAACTCCTTTAAGAACCTCAAGTTAACTAACCCAGATGTCTTTAGATTTGCAGTTCACTTCAGTGTTATCTTGGGAAAGAAAGGCAAACGCATTTGAGTTCCCTATTAGTGATACAGTGACTGGAAAATGCGTCGATACAGCAGACGGTGGTCGTTCCCATGATCCAAAGCGAAAGGTGCGGAGCCGTCAGTTACACAAAAAAGTATATCGGCCCATAGGCGGTGCCATTTGCACGACCCATTACGTGAGACAAAATGAATGCATACTTACTTCGCAGTGTCATATTCATTGGTAGTTAAATAAAACTAAAGTTGAGTATACCAATACGTTCGCAGGACGAAAGAGCAATATTTGGCGACGGAACACACCCAGCCGGTTAACTAGCGCATGAGTAGAATTTTGAATCACAGTAGCATTCTGTCAAATGAACCGATAAAATCCGGACCGAATAATGCACGTTAATAGTTAAACTTTTGTTGTGTAAAGAGGCATTTTTCAATATAGAGAACTCCTGGCGTATTATTCAAACATAAAAGGGGCTGTTAATACTAGCGAACTTGTGATTCCCAGGAAGTAATTGAGAAGAAGGCGACTCGATCGCTCGGACAATACTCTTATTCGCCTGCCGTTTAGAGATCCGTCGCGGATTCGTCATCAGAGACATGGTCAGATAGCAGTAGCAGATATGGGTAGCGTATGCAAGAGGTGACAATCGGGTGAGCCGATAATTACGCGAGTCATGGTTCACGGGCCCCCAATCCATCAACAAGTGCAAAGATTTGCCCAATCGGCCACTTGGGAGCATACAGGCCACCGTGATGTCTTACGTCAAAACCGGGGAACCAGATGGCCGAGAAATTAGTACGTCCACTCTCACCACACCTGACGCAAGGTCGGAAGGTCACGGCTCGCATGCCGGTTATCAAAAAGTAAGGCACCAGAAGGATATTATCGTCACTTGTCATAACTCTGCAGTAATGACAATATCCTATAACTACTGCAACTTCCTGCGCATTTATTACCCAGTTCTGCTACTGTTTTCTGCTGATGTCGGTGATGACGCATCTGCGATTGATGTCGAAACGTCAGGTGAATAAATTTTTTAGTCAAACTATCGTTATACATCGTTTTATTAATATAACGGT